ATTAAGTGTTTTTAAATGTGTGGAACAGTGTTTTGTCACTTTCAAAACTCTCCTGTCATTGACCGGAGAAATTGGGTCAACGTTGTATTCAATCTGGCCATTAATATTCCAGTGAGACGAAGTACGTACATTGACCGGAGTGATCCCATGTTAATTTTGTCCAAAAACTTGAGCATTCCCAAGCCCTATTGCTACACACACACATAACGAATCCCTTAACTGAACACACACATACACATACATAGAACACAACATTGAAAACAATAACACAAAGCGGACTCCCTGAACTGGGGTCCTATCTGTGACCCTATATAAACTTCCTCTCCCACTAGGGGTAGAGGGCCCTCTGTATGTGGATGTAAGTGGCAATGCATTGCAGTTACACCCCCCAATATTACAAGCTTAACAAAACAACTTAAATGGAGGCCTCCGAGGAGGGCGGAAGCTCCAGATTCTCTTTCAGTAACGTCTCAACAAAGGAAATCACTGAGGGTGAGTTTTCTTCAGCCCCTTCACAGACACAGTGTATCCTAATATTTTATCTTCTGGATCGGCCCTCGTGGTCCGTTAGCCTGGCTTCCATGTATGTCTGTAGCTTCAGCAACTCCGACACCGCGCCCTCCACACTTTCTAATCTCTCTTCTGCTTCTGCAATTCTCTCTTCAGCTTCATCAATTCTATTGTTTGTCTTATTTATATCTTCCCTGATGTCCCGCAGCCGCTCGCCGTTTTCTTGTCGAAACTCTATCAATTCTCGAAGAATCACGTCCAGGTTCACCATGTTTCCCTCCTCACGTTGCCCTTCGGTGTCTCGCTGGCTAAAGCTAGCTCTCTCGCTAGCTCTCTCGCTAGCTCCGCTCTCTTCGAAGAGGGGCTTGTTGTTCACGGCATGCTTACCGCAACTTTATCGTGGTTTGGTTTCTTCAGCTGTCCTTTAGGCATCTTAAGGTCCCCCACTATAATTTGAATAAACTGAAAACACGTAAGAGCCAAGTTACAAGGCTTTAGATATTAATTGGGGGGGAGCTGTTAAGTTAGTCTGCTACCAGCATGGCCGCTCATCCGGAAGTCGTAAGCTGCATTTCACAGCTGTGTTTTAGCCAAATGTGAAATCGGACACGCTGGTCAACGACTGTGTTTATGGCAGCGAGACAGAAGAAACACAGCTCCTTTGCAAAGTTAATAACAGCAATTTTTTGAATGGTTGGAAAAAATCTAAATCAAACGCATAGTTTAAAACAGTGAGCAGTTAAAATCAGTTCCTATTCACCTGCTTTCCTTGAAAAGGGGTTGATCCCAGCAGAAGAAGGCTGGGAAGGAAACATGGCAGGAGGTGCAATGGCAGGAGGTGGAATGGCAGGCGGAGGGGAGGGACAGAAGCCAAACGTCGGGGGGAAATCCTTAAGAGAGATACAACAATATATATCTGACATTAGAAAAGTGAAAATGAATAGAATAATGTTTATAATTAACTTGATTCTTACCGTCTGAGCTGTGCTTCTCTGCTCTGTTCTCTCCTCTGGAACGTCTTTAGGTTTGGATTTGAACCAACCACTGAACCATCCGGCCTTGGTGTTCAGAATGAAACGAGGAAAGAGAGATAATGAGACCCCAGCCAAACAAACGGCACTGTGTCCCCTGTGGTGTAACAGGTACCTGTTTAGGGGGCTCGCTGTTCTGCTCGTAGGCCTCTGAACTCTGGGGGGTGCTCTGCTGCCCCTGAGGACTGAAGTGGTCTTCCTGCATCTGAACCCCCATCTTAAAGGAAAGTATGGACAGACAACACACTGTCTGTGACTTGTATGAAACATTTCCCAATGCATTGCTTAAAGAGGTAGTTTGTAGTGTTTAATGTGGAAATGTTGGTCAGTATTGTGTGACTTTAGTAAATCTGAAACCTCTACCAGTGCGCAATAAGACAAAGAAAATAGCAGGTCAAGGCTACGGCTGACCAGCAACATTTACCAAGTCATGCTCTACAAGCTCAAAGGGGCTGTTTTTGTCAAAGGAGGATGGTGGTTTTATAGCAGATTCAGTTTCCCGTCAGAAAAAGGCTTCCGAAAGCAAGACAAGGCCTTGGTCCACGTATCAGTTTTCAGAAAAGAGCCTCATCCCAGTGTTTAATTCAAGTTTAATTTAATTTTTTGTATGACAACGATATCTTGACACCGTATCGCCGCTGTTGAGAGACAAACATCACCCCTTTGCTTTTAATTATCTATTTGTGGGACTATATATTGATTTCTGTCTTTGTCATTTTGATAGTTTCGGTCAGAAATTACGATCAGGATAGACGGATACGGCCAAATACAAACATCTCCATTTTCTTCAGCAATGTCACCTCTTTGAATATTGTAAATGTTTTAAACTCCACTAGCTCAGAGGGAACCCACAAAAACAGCTGAATGATCAGAAAAAGAGGGAGGGTGCAGCACCTTCTCTCAAGGCGGTCGGCTGCAACGGCGGTTGTCTCACTGGAAACAACTGAAAGAATATTCCGGGGCTCATAGAAATATACTTTTTAAAGCTTTAAAACTATTATAAACAAAGCGTTTTAAACAGACATGGATTCTTTAAGGTGGCTAATATGAGTTTCCCCCATCCACAGTCGTACATTGCTTAGCTTCCTGCTGTAACTCATGTCTATTTCACCAAATGATGGGTGTGCAGACCCCCATCTAATGTAGGTATAACACTGACTATGGATAAGTTCTTCAAACAGCCTCTCTTTATCAGAACTACCCTGCTAAGAACATTGGTAAATATCGACACTTCTAGCAAATACTTTCACTGAAAAAGTTTGAATCCAGAAAAAGATGGCAAAAGTGTGTTCAAACCAAGAACATGAACATCTTTTTGCTTTTCTTTTAATTAGTATAAAATATGACTCACTGTGGTCGCTCCAGAGTATGACCAAGCCCCTGTAGAAGATATGAAATCAACATATTACACTTTCCCCGCAGTCCTTATTAAACATCTGAGCAGAGCAGTGACTCTCACCCTGTTCTGCTGATGGCTGGTCACTCAGAGCACAATGTGGCCAGGCTGATGTGACTTCAGCACTATCTGTGTTATGATAAGTGAAGGCCTGGCTGGCAGCCAATGTGGAAGCTGGGGGAGCACAAACTGTCATCGGAGAATTGGCCTGCTGCCTACAAGGAACAGGGAGGGACATTATGGTCTGTTAGGATATCACACGAGCAGTCACAGTTGTATCTGCGTGGCTGACAGACATGAGTGAGGCATGAGTCAGCACATTTCATCGTACCAGTCCTGAGCGCCGCTGCCGTCCCACGACAACTCCTTCATGTCCGCAGTGACTGCTTCAATCTGATGCTGGAGGTGTTCCTGACCCACATCTGGATCTGGATCTGGATCTCGTCCGTAGTAAAGCAGCTCAGGCTCCGGACTCTGGATGTCATGGTTTAGGTCCTCCAAGTATGGCTCTGTAAACATCCGGAAGAATCTTTAGAGTATTCAGGGATAACAGGCTACCGATTATTTTAATGAGATGACCGAATCATTTTTTTTACCAGTGTAGGCCGTAGCACTGCCCCCAGGAGGTGGATGGTGGGTTTCAGTGTAGTCCAAATTCCCCGTCTGAGTAAAATAAGAAAATGAAGACAATCACATTTAAGATGTATTGTAAACATGACACACAAGAGCTACTTTGTGAGGATGTCATGAGATGCAGCAGTGCTTTGAACAAAATGCTAAAATAATATATAGAAGAAAGGCATTTGAAAGCTAAATCCATTTTCCAACAGAAACCTAACCAGATTTTAACCTTCTTATTGTGCTCAAACTCATTTGAAAAAAAATACTTTTTATTAAGAAAAAAACAATAGATGAAGTCAGCTGTAACATGATGTACCTTAAAGTTAGTTTACAGTAAGCTTAAAAAAAAGTAAAATATAGTTATAATATATTGCTAACTGAAATATATTAATATTATATATTTTTTTTAATATATTAACATCTTGCTTTTGCTAACCAACCCAATCATTGACAGTTTAACAGTATGAATAAATACTGTAACAAACGTAAGAAATAAAAATGGGAATCGTGCTTAATAGCATCCAGTTGATGATACATTTAAATTGCCACATTTGAAACAGGTAGGCCTGTTTGACAGGGCTACATGGGAACTTTTAATTAGGTTTGAAAGCACACTAACCCAGCAGCTAACATAGCATTCACATGTAGCTTTTGTAGCTAGGGCTGAACGATTAATCGATTTTAAATCAAAATCGCGATTTTAAATTATGCAATTATCGAATCGCAAAGCCTGCAATTATTATTATTATTTTTTTATTTTTTTATTCTTGTGTGTCAGTCATCCACACCAATCAGAAGTGCTGTGCGCCACATGTACCAGCCATTGTTAACCAATCAGAAGTGGCCCATGATAGAAGGTGATAGACAGATTGATCCAATCACCTGCCAAGTATTTTTTTAAAGTCACCAAACCATCTAGGAAAGCTCCATTGGAAGCCATTTGGAAAAGGCAGGCACTTTAAAAAAATGGTGGATGGTTTGGTGAGTAATGCTCCATCACATGTTTTACATCTATTACAGGGTGAATCTTAAACTGAAGCTTGACTTTAAAGCAACCCAACGGAAGTTTCATGTAAGTTTAGTTCTTTCACTCGTAGCTCGGGCTGCGGGGGTGCTAGAGACAGGAGCACGTTGATACGACCTTCCTAGCCGGAGATATGGCAGCATTTTACAATAAACTTCTGTTGGGTCTCTTAAAAACAAATATTGCAAAGCGAATCGCAATATCTGTCAGAAAAATCGCAATTACATTATTTCCCCAAATCGTGCAGCCCTAGCAGGAACAATGTGCAAGTTTATGGAGCTATTTCAGGGTCATAAGTTTTGATCATTCAAAAAAATGCAATTTATTTGAAAGTTCAAGTTTTTATCCTGAACTTTGAAAAATACAATGATGTATTCAAAATAAAAATAGTATTTGAAATCATTTTTCAGGTTGAATATTATTTTTGATTCAGTTCAGCAATTTATTTGAATAAAATATTTATTTTCAGATTTCACTT